CACTGGGATGTTAGCAGAATACACCCCAGGTTTAACAATTAGCCCATCTTGACCTCAGCCCCCTTTACTCCATACTGTTTTTCAATACACAACTTCATAATTCAGAAAATGAACACAGTTTTCTTCAAAAGTGTCAAATTTATTAAATACCAACATTTGCACAAGGACAACATCTCCCCAGAGGAGACATCTCTGCAGGACATGCTGTAGATGTGTTTGCTGCCCACCAGTGCCATCCCTTGATGCCCACAAGTGGCCCAGGAGACCTCTCCCTGCTTCCTCCCAAATCCTTCCACATCTACCCCATTGCGGCTGAGACCAACTACATAACAAAGAGCAACATCCACAAGTTGTGGCCACATAGGACACGTGGAAAGTTTTCCTACGAGCAAGGTGGTGTAGTGCTGAAAGAGGTCACCTGGACAGTTGGGAACTTCTCCATCTCTGCAGGTGCTGGACACCATCCTTCTGTACTGGTGGCATTAGGGACCTCCATGGTCTCTCCCAGTCAGCATTCTGTGGGTTCTCTCTTAGGTCCTGTTGTGTCGTAAGAGACACCAATGGCCTGGCTGCTCTCTCTGGGACTTACCTGCCTTCCCCCCAAGCTTTACCCCCACCAGATTCACTCCTGCCAAGTCCTCATAGTAGACCATGATGATCTCCCTCAACTGCCCTTGGTACATCCTCAAGCTTCCCAGGAAACTCAGCACACACCCTGGGGAGACATCAAGGTCAGAGCAGCTCTGTGCATGGTAAGGAAGCCAAAGGCATAGTAAGGATTGGGGGGTGGGGGGGGAGAAGACACTCAAGATAAAAATACAAACCACCTCTGAGAGCAGCTTTTTTTGCGTTTGAGTTAACCATCCATAGATACCGTTAACTCTAGGAGGAAGCAGCAGAACCAAACAACCCACTGATGCAAAACTTAAAAAAAAAAAAAAGACCAGAAAACACCTGGTTCAACTAAATATATGCAGTCTGCTACTGGATGCCCTCCTCCATGCACACAGGAGACCCACGGCATCGCACAGTCACAGAATGGGTAGGACTGGAAGGGACCACACGGCCATACACACCATGCAATTTGCAAAGGAGAGTGTGCAGATCAGCACTGAGGTCATGCTCTCTCCAGGCAGACATGTGTCACCACTGAATGTGGCAAATCGCCACAGTGGCCCAGACAACTCTGGGAGCTGCTGATGAGGAACAGCTGAATCCTGAAGAGGAGAATGCAAGGAGCTGAGGGAAGACCAGACTGAATAATGTCACCATTTTATTTACATATTTATAACAATGGCTCTGTGAGGACATAACGCCTCAAAACCTTTGATCAAACACCTGAGCACCCACAAAGACAAGAATGGAGCCTGCAGAGAGCACGGGGCTGCCCAGTCTGCTGCTCCTTCCCCACCTCCCCATCCAGGCATCCTCGCACACACTCATCACCCCATGAAGCCACTTTAAAGAAGCAAAAATGTCTGCAACAGGAGACAGCTCGAACAGATTTTTATCACCACATCCTGCTCATATCAAGTGAAATCAGAAAGGGGGAGGTGCAGTCCACAAGATAAATAAGCAACTAACCCTCACAGTGAAACAGTCGTCATCTTGGCTGCAGAGGGGCTGGGGTGGGGAGTGGCAGCTGAGGAAGAGCTCATTAACATCGGGAAGATTAGTGAAGCTATCAGTGAAATAGAGCAGGTCACATCGCGCCGCAGGAGAGCAGAGGTGAGAGGTGGGAAGAGCCCGGCCATCCGCGGCTACAGCTGCGATGGGACACATGTTAAGGTACAAATCGCAGCAAAAAAAAATTAACTTCATTAAAAGCTCTGGTCGGGTGTAAGCCCCGGCTGGGTGTTTTTACATTCGTCTGTAGCAGAATCAAGGCAGGACAGGCAGAGCGACAGCACCGCACTCAGCATCCTCAGGCTGGCCATGAAGGGTCCTGAATCCACAGCAGTTCCCAGATGAGGGATTGTCACCGCTTAAGCACCTATCCCTTGAGCTGCAGCAACCGGTTGGATTCACGTATTGCTACTGCACCAAGCATGAGGAATAGCACAGCCTAAAAGCCCTTCCAGGTGGGTTTTAACTAACCAGTCTAATGCGCTACCTGTTTGGGCAGCAGCTCAGCGGGCTCTGCTCAGCAATGCTCCTCGCACTGCCTTCACCAAAGATGGTTTTAAGCTGCTATACACACACCTATGCTCGGGATCGGCGCTGATTTAGCTGGGCTACTTCGAAACCCACCCGCAGGAAGCAGGGACCTCACAAGTGCCAAACACCCGGACAGCATCGACATACCCCACCCTTTCTGGCCTCTGGGCTTTGCCTTTTTTTGCCTCTTTGCAAGGTCCTCAGGTTTGACAAAGTTATCTTGTCCTGTTGGGCCGAATTGCTTTTTCTCAGGGTTGATCAACTTGTGTCATGCAAATTACCCAGGGTGGAGGTAAACCAAAAAAGGGGCATTCAGATGGTTCCTTTCATGTTTTACAGATCAATTTGCATCTGTATTCTCTGCCTTCAGGGCAACTCTCAGTTGACTGAACACCTGCTTTTAGCTGCCGGGAAACACATAACAAACCTCCTTCTCCACCCACCCCCAATTCACACCCCTACCAAGTATTTAACTGGTGTCACTAAGACTTGCAAAACCCTCTTCACTTCAGGCAGGCTGCTCATTTTATCTTGGTCAAGATTGCAATGACCACATGGCTCTGCTTGCCATGCCCCAGAATCCCAAAGCATCCCAGCAAACCAAACTGAAGGAGAGAGCCTCACACCAGGTCATGGGCTTGGTGGCTTCACATCTCTGAGCCCTGAGTGTTCTTTCTGTCATCCAACTTGTCAGCCCAGCACAAAGATGCTTCAAAAAAAGGAGTGATGGAGAAAGAAAGCCAGATGGAGTGAACTTTATTGTGGAAAAGCCAGACAGACATACAGCAGCCAAGTAAAAATGAGGCTCTTCCCCAGGAACCACTGATACTGCAAAAAGCATCCACCCTGCCTAGACACAACCCTGGGATCTCCTGTTACATTGCTCATCCTTAGCATTAATTCTCACTGCAACTCCAAAGAATTAGTTTATTCCTGTGATGCCTAGAATCTATATTTGCTATAAATCACAAGAATTTGCTCTCTGGACAGAAAATTGAGGCATGGCCTGAGAGCAAAGAGACCAGCAACAGAAGCAAGCATCAAACCCAAGGGCACTATGAGTCCCTGCAACATCTTCTGGTCCCCAAACTGGACAGATGGAAGGCACAAGATACATCTGTCCCCCACGTGCACTTGTCTGGGGCTCAGGTAAAGGGCAGTGACCACACAATTTCACTGCCACAGTGTTTTCCTGGCTATAAAAAGAGAAATTCCTCTCTCCAGGGCAATGAAAATACTCCAATGACTAGTAATACATAAAAGCTAACAGTAAATTTCAGAAGAAACTCTAAATGTATAACAACAACACACACGTTCCCTTTGCCCACTTAAAACTTAACAAGAGAGATGTACTACAGTACATTATATTTCTTCCTTGACTTAAAGTGACAATCTTGACAATGGACCATCAACATCAATCCCTCTTGCAGAACAGGCTGCCCTCTGAAAACATACTGAGGGCATCAGCAGAAGCATACCTAAAATCTTCCAGAGTTGCCTCTGCTTAGGTACAACAGTTTGTACCCCTATATTTCAATGAGTGTGGATATTTATCCTCACTGTAGTACAAACTAGCCAGTGCAGGATGAGCACTCTGCAAACACAATCAGAAAACAATGTTTCTATCCCTCAAAAAAAACCAGGAGGTGAGGCAGGAGGAGGTGGCCCAGCAAAGGCAGGTAGGTAGGTATCTGTCAGGGGATTTCCCCTGGTTGGAAGATGCAGTGATGTGCACAAAAGCTCTAGAGGGAGTTTCTAATCAAGAGAGACGTGACATGAAGGTCCCAGTTCTTCACAGTACCCCACCTGCGGGCTGCTGCACCTTAGCTGAGTTACCAGGACGTGGATGCTCCCGCTACAGGTGTCAGGCTCCCATAGGGAGATGGCAGGTATCGTTCCAAACCTTCCCGTGCCTGAAAAGCCACAAGCCACATCACTCAAAAAGCTGGAGACCAGAGCAGCCCCAGGGCTGGTTCCCAGGAGGTTCTAGTGCAGCCCAAGCAGCTTCACTGGGTCTTAGCGCAGCAGCTCCTGGGGCTGGAATCATCTTTCTGGTTCCCACTGGGACTGCAACAGCCAGTGTGAGATGACCCAGTTGGACTGAAACCTCCTCGGCAATCACACCGTATCCTTCAGGAATGTACTTACGCTGCCAGTCAGGGTGTATAAATGCTGAGAGCAGGCTCAGACAAGTGGCTCACAGATTTAAGCTGTGTCCAAACCTTAAAGAAAAATTAAGGGCAGCTTAGGAGAGGCCAAGCTTTTAGGCAGTGGGTTTGGACACCCCAAGCCACAAGCAAGCACCTTGAACTCCAGTCCTCCCACACAGGGTACAGACATTACACATGCCTTGCAGACCCTACATCCAAACAAGCTGTCTCAGCTACGCTGACAGTGCAGAGAAACAGGTACTGTAGGGAATGATTCATCCCATTCAGATGCCTACAGCAGGTCAGGGTCAGGCACTTCCTGAAAATATCCATTTCCCTCCAGCGACTGTAAAAGGAGGCTGAAGGGGGACTGGATCAACAGTGGGTAATGGCAGCAGAGCTCTCTAAATCTAGAGGGGCAAAGTCCCCTGCCCAAATACAGCCAGAAACAAGGTCTGTGTGATGCACAGACCTCAACATATTCCAGTTAGTCTCCAGCCCTTCTGAGACTCTCAAGCACATCTGCATGTCTACAATCCTCCCATCAGCCCTGAAGAGGCGAAATACAGGGAAACCTGCACCCGAAATGAAATCTGGAGGATCAACAGAAAAGGTGTCACCCAGAGGCTTCAGGGAAGATCAGGAGGGCTTGTATCTCCAGGTTTATGCGTCCTAAAAGACACCACCACTCACCTCATTTCCCAGGAAACCCTGGCAGGATCTAACCTCCTTTCCACTTGCTCCTCCTTGCTCCTTTTCGCAGTCAATGGAGACCTATACGACATTGCAACAAAAGAAATGTCAGCAAGCCCAACTTTGTCCCTTCCCTCCAACCAAAACTCTTCAACTTTCTTTGTTTTTCAGTAATAGGCTGCACTGGAAAGCAATTATATACAAATTTCAGCTTATATATCTACTTAAATATTTATATATCTATTTAATATATATTACCTTTATATATATATACATATATAAAATTTCAGCTGCAAAAGGACAGGCATCAGTGATGGAGCCCTACAGCCTGTCCCATGCTGGACACCCATGATGACACAGCAATGTGACATCAAAATGAGTATGAAGAGGTTCTCCTGAGATGTCCACCATCAGCTCTAAAGCAATCCCTTAAACACTCCTAAAGAGTAATGGGAGGAAACACAGCCAGGAGTGTCAGGGAGCCCGGGATGATGAAGAAATGTCCTTGTGGTGCACGCCTGGGGCTGGTCCAGAGCCACAAGGAAAAAGGATGGAGGCAGTTGACTCCTGCTCCTTGACCCAGAGGATCCCACCATCATCATGGAGAGGATGTCGGCTTCTCCTCGTGGTGACCTCCAGACATTGCTGACACCCCATAGTACAGCCTGAGGATCACACAGGACAGCCAGATGGACATCAGGCTGTTGTTCAGATTCCCAGCACTCTGCTGGGTGGTGAGCCTTGCAGACTGTTTTCCCCCACCATCTCGCTCCCCATTTTCTTCTCAGGCCACAGAGCCCTCATCGGTACAGCCATTAAATCACACGTCCATATATCAAACAGCTGTATATCCCACAGCCTGCTGGCAGTATGAGCCTGAGGCAGAGCAGGGAAGGGGACCTTTATTACCATCAGAAACGCCCCATCACTCAGCCTACTTAACCCAGCCACATTTGCACTGCTAAATTTGGGAGAGTATGAGAAGCATTCCCTCATAACAGGAGATGGGGGAGGGACAAGCAGGCTACTGGCCTCCTTTAACTCCCTGCCAAGTACTCTGTAATTCAAAGTCAGTGTCAGGGAAGCCACCCCAGCTGCACAGCAATGGCCCAGACCCAGCAAACCTAGAGATCTGTCGCTTTAACCCTTTCGAGTTGGCATCTAAGCTTGCCCATTTCAAGAAAATGACTGAGTCAGGCTTTAGGAAACAGCTCCCACGGAAATAACAGGCTTCCAGGAGGTATGAGGGGGGAATTCTGGACACCTCCATGCATGAAAATAAGGGCTCAGCTTCAGACAGCCGAGTTTGAAGACCCTGCCCTGAAGGAATGCAGTGCTCAGCCTGGTACCTGCTAATAGCATTCCTTACCTTCAAACTGATTTAAGCAGCTGTGAATGACTATTTTTTTGGTGCCAAATAGATGAACTATTGATGAACTATGTCAGAAAGACAGCATCAATACCTGCAGCAAGAAGGGGTCACCAACCCTGTCAGCACCTAGAAGCATTACCATGACCTGCAGCACCAGGACCTAAAAAAAGTTATCACCAGGCTTTGCTTCTGAGATTGCAGAAGCAAATTAAACCTCTCTTCTTGTTGCTGGCAGGTACAGGAAGGAAATGCACGTTACAGAAACCTTTCTGGGCCCGCTTTACATAAACACCATCAGTACCTGCACCCTCCTGCAGATGCCCAAAGAAATCTGCCCCTGGAAACCCAACCCTTGGAACATCTTGGCAGGGGGTGGGAGAGGGGGTTGGGGGGGTGGGAGAAGAGGGGGGGCATTGCTGACCACACCCAACAAATAAGCACTTTAATTAAACCCAGAGGGTACCAAGCTGGTGGTGTTTGTGGTGAGCCTGAAATCTTCCCTAGCACGCACACTGAGACATTCGAGGGAGCTTTTGAGGAATCCAGGCATGAGCCTGGGTTAAGAGGCCATGGAGCTACAGCTGCTCCCCTGAGACCTTTCCCAAGCAATTCACACGCACACCAAAAAAAAAAAAAACTAGGCTTGTTTTCAGTAAAAGTGGGCATCAAACGTTCTGACATCAAGAAGGATGATTAAAGACAGCTGAGTTGCAGGAAAGATTAAAAGAACTAAATATGCCCAACCTGGCTAAGCAATGAGTAAGAGGAGACGTGATAAAAGACTTCCAGGCATCTGAATGAAGGGAGTGGCGTGGCATTAAAGGACTGAATAAAATATCTTTCTGAGAAATGGATCCATCAACGATCTCTCAAGAGATAAGGTACAAGCCTCATTTTTTAGGCATTTATAAAACCAGTCGCCAGAACTGAGGTTTTTGAGGAGAAATCCACATTGCCCTGAAGGGAACACGCACTAAAGCTTTTCATCTCCAGCACAGGGTGCTTTGAGCAAGTCCATGAGGGAGTACGGGACACTTGGGAAGGGGTAAGTGTTTCATACCACCTCACCCAAGAAACAGATATGCTTTTTTATTGTAAAATTAAATATATATATATATATTTGATTTTCACTCCTTGTTTTTAATTCAGCAGCCCTAATCCATAATGTTTCAGGTTGGGGGGGGGGAAAAAAAGAAGAAGAAGAAAATAACCACCAACCAATTCAAAATGAACAGGTCTGGGGATCTTACAAGTACTAGGCTTTCCTTTCCTCAATAATTAAAGTTGCATGGCATGGTATTGAGGAAGCAAGAGCCTGGATGGAGCTGAGCAGTGGTGCTCCTGGCAGCTGCTACCCTTGCAGCTCTCTGGACAAAGCCTGACCCAGCATACACATGGGCAAGGTGACAAAATCCTGGGAAGTTTTTCAATACCTGGCTCTGCTGAGATGATACCCCTCAGTGAAAGTACCTTCTGACCCTCTGAAACGCAGAGACCTGATGCACTTTATGAAGATCAGAAGTGAGCCCTAAGGCCTGAGAAAACCACCCAGGAGGAAAGATAAACCTGTTATGCTGGCTTTGCCCCAAAAAGCCATGTAATGCACATACCTACCTAAATACCAACTCTGTGAAGCCAAAGCAGTGGATTCTGTGTAATTTCACATGATGTCCAGCCATGTGAGGGCCTCCTGAACATCAGCACAGACAGAAAGATGCACCCAAGGGGAACAGCTGGCCAAAACTATTTACTGAATACAGACATATGCATGGTGAGGTTTCTACCAGCATCAACTTATCAATTCACCTGATGTGCCTGAGGGTTGCAATTAATCCCCCAATGTTCTTTCAGGTGCTTCTGCCTCAAAATTGTTGATGCAACTCAGCCACCTGGTATGATTTACAAAGCTCAGTGGTATCCCAGATTTGGGTACCTGGGAGACTCCTTCATCCTCAGCTGGGAAAAGCCAGCTGTCAATGGTTTAATTGTAGATCACAGTTAAATTCACACAATGGCCATGTATACTGTCCCAGCTGCCCCTGGCTCCCCTGAGCTGGTGAGCCTTCTAAGAGGAAACTAGGTAGGAAAAAACCAGAAAAGGTGAGCAGTTGTCTTCCAGTTAATTCCCTAAACCAGTTCAGTAGGGCTTAGGCAAGTACTAGAAATCTTTCCCCTTTTGGCATGAACAAGATCAGCTGAACTGCAACACATGATCTCAGTCCAAGGCAACCTTTGTTTCCAAGACCAAGAGTGGATCTTTTTCATTTTATTTTTTTACCCCTTTTCTAAAGTAACCTCTTAAGTCTGCGACTGCCTTTCTCCACAGGAACAGGAGATCCACCACTAACTGACCAGTGAGTTTTATTGCAGAGTTGAAACAGGATGTTCACAGAGAATTTTATTGTATTTTTTTTAATAAGTGGAGCATTTTAGTAGGCAGTGAATCTTCTTGCTTTATGCTTGCTTGTCTCTTTGGGAGGCTGAAGTACAAAACCAGGCTGCCAGGTTCATTCTATATATATTGAAGAGACATGATTCTGCTCTACCCAATTATAAAAAGACAATATAAAAAGACCTGTTCAAAGTGGAGGAAAGCATGTTCTTACAGTTTAGGATGAAAAGGGAAAATTAAAACTTCTGAAATAGGTTATTATACCTTCTATCAAATCTTTCTCTTCCCACTGAATCAGCTGCTTCCATCACTTCAGCAACACTGATGCTGGAGATTACCTGGGTCACGGTATCACTGTCACAAAGAATTAAAGGTTTGCAGGTTGTGTTTTGCCAACTTCCTCCTTTTCTTTTGATGGTAATTTTGGGCATCTCTGCTCAAGCCATGACTGCAGTTTTACTCTGCTCTCATAACCCATTCAGACTGACAGCCACACCTGGCAGCCCCCACAGCTAGTGAGGCAGGAGGGCACAGCCCCTCTCTGACCCAAAACTTATCCTTCCAGGAATGACTCTGGGGATCTCAAGAAGGAAATGTAAAATTTTGACTTGTGCAATTCCCACTACAGGGAGTAAAGGTTATTTTTTTCCCCATCCAGATAGTTAAGGAGAAGCAACTCTCTCAAAAACAGAATAGTTTCTACTATTCAGAACAGTGGGTTGGGATAATGTGTAGAAAAAAAAAAAAAAGAAAGAAAAAAAAGATGGAGAGAGCTCCCTCAAGGATGAGCCCCAGGAGGGAGGTGTGTTGCTGGGAAGCAGCCAGTTCCTCGTGTCCTTCCCAAGAAATGCATTTTCTCATCCTGACACGCATTTTGGTACATCCACTCCCACTCAGCAGAGCCATTGCCGGAATCCAATTTCCCTGGATATTTCACAAATGCTTATCCAGAGCCTCCCATTCTCACATGACAATAACAGCTATTCTATTTTCGCTTCAGATTTCAAAAAGGTGTCAAGAGAGAAATAAGAGGGGCACCTCTGCTGGCAGCCACTCCTTTGCTGCAGGATAGGGGATGCACTTGCCCTGTGCACTAAGCTCTTGGAGAGGGAATGAGGCAGATGTACTACTGCTGCTGGTAGTCTGGAAAGAGTTACTGCTGCGCTCAGAGGATTTCTGCCTTTCCAACAGGCTGGCCGGGTGAAGAATGCAAGTGACGAAGCAGCATCCTGCAGGGAATGAGGGGAAAGCATTAAAAAAAAAAAAAAAAAGAAAAAAGTTACAGAACTCCACCTCTTTGGCTGAGGTTCAGGATGA